CATGTTGCCAACAAATATTTACAAAAACTCAATGAGGAGTCTCAAGCTCCAACAGTACAAAATAAAAACATAAAATTGTCTTATCTTTCCATCGCAGCCGTCCACTCCGACCTGGTCGAGCTGTCAAACCATAACCATAACCATAACCATAACGTACTTTGTACATGTTTATCTTGTTTGTTTTGTTTAACACGTTCAATCATACTCAGAGAAAAGAATAAAACTTTTAATACTGCAAACAAAAAACAAGCAAAAATAGAAATCAGTTTACAGAAAGCAGGACCCCACTGGCGTGTTTGTAAAACCGGTGTACAAAATATATAATCACAGTTATTACTTTCTCCATTCGAACAGTTTGGCTATTTTAAGAAGTTGCACTAATGTCTACAACACTAGGAAGGTAAAAACATAAACTTGGTGATAAGCTTTTGTCAAACTGCCATTGCTTTGTCATGTAATGTTTGTGCAATCAAGAATTTTGAAAATACTGAAAATTATTAAATGTATAAAACGACATTTTAGAGGAATGTGTACCAAAATCTGGCAGTTGAAGTGCGGCCCCTTGTGGGGAGCAGGGAGCTACTGCGGAGGCAGGTGCAGCAGGGCAAACAATTTTCTATTGCATTTTGTTTATTTGTGCACACATTGGGGTGTCACTGTTATGTCACTTCACTCCCTCTGTTCAATCACAATACTTTTGTATAAATTAGTGTTGTAGATAAAGCTGAGTCAAGATTTGCGGCAATCGCTGTGAATGGTGTAATTATGGGGGGACTTGACAACAGACCTATCTACAAACAGGGGGCGCTGCAGAATCCCCTGCTTAAATTAGTGGAGTAATTAATTATTATTTTAATTATATTATTGTAATTATTTTAATAATATAAAAACCAAATTCATCACATTTATTTCAAATCAGCTATGATCAAACAGATTCAAAGAAAACCCTTCATAGAAAAAAAAAACATAAATACATTTTAACAGTTTTGGCTCATAACAGAAGAATAACTATGAATAAATAAGATGGCTGAACCAGTGTTACCATGGTTAGCTGAGTGCTAATCTGCCTTTTTTTTTTCAAAGACATTCTCTTCTTGTTGCGTTTGAAGTCAAGGCTGAGCTGCAGTGTTCAGAGAAGCCAGGGCCGAGTGGATACGAACGTGAAGCCTGTTCTCAAAGTCATAACCAGCAAAGTCCTCCTGCGTCGTGCATGTAGAAAAAACACATTCATAAACAACCAGGGTCATTTCACAAAACAAGTGTGTCCAAGTGTAATAAGAAAAGACATTCAAATTCACACCAGGTCAAAAACCTGAAGCCCATAAAGAAGCAGAAAAGATTATTCCACCTCTGCCGAGTCTCTGTTTCTGTCAGACGTTAGTGCATCTGCTGAGAAATGCAGCCACAGCAGACGGAGTGATATCTCTGCTCTGTCAGAGATGCTTTCACCTGCACTAACACGTCGTCGCTGCTGCCAAACACTGCATCTAACACACAGTGCATTTCAAATGAACCTGAATCCTGCCTTTGTGTTCAAGCTAGGGAGTGTTATTTTTCACTAGGTAGAGTAAAATAAAGCCATTATGAAGCTTATGTGTTGAATATAGTGTTTTACTCACCATATCTTTTAATCACCATATCAAATGGACACATTTAAGTTAATGCCTCCTGTCATTTCATATTCACAATCAATAAAAAAAATATTTATGATTCCTTAAGGCCAATTAAATTGAATTGTTATATTTTGAATAGGATATTTCCATAAATTGGAGTCTGTTAAAAGACATTTGCTGCACACTGAAGAACTACATTCCAGAGCAAAGTATAGGGCAAGTATTAAAACCAGGAAATCCACTTTACCTTAGCCTGCAGCATTAGCATGCGGCCCTTCGCGGCAGACTGGAAGAAAAGTATAATAATTTATTGGACAGAAAATGTGACTTCCTCCAAAAGCCCTAAAGAAAATATTTCTCTGTGTATGACACAAAATAACACAACTTACCTCTGGTGTGTTGATCAACACACAACCAAGTTCATAACAAGAGTACGGTTGAACGTAGGAGTTGGTTAGACGACCCACTTCGTCTCCCAAAGCTAGTTGGAAATACTGAAAAGAAGAAAGTGAAACAAGATGATCACAACACTATCTGCCGGCTGTCATCAAGGGTGAATTAAGACTATAGGCGATAGTACCATAGAACTCCTTAGTGCAACTTTTAGTGCACAATGTCATTAACCTGACACAAATGTACCTGAACAGCATCTTTGATATTCAGAAGATATTTGTTAATTGCTCCAAGAAGCAGGTTTTTCAGGCCGGTGCAAGATGCATCATTGATGCCCTGCAGAACTGTGTCAAGAGGAACACGCAGCACCCAAACAAACAATAGAAGAAAATGTTAAACAAAGCTTTAAACAAAAAGACGATGAAGAGGGAGACTTTGTCCAGTATAAATCTCAGTTACCTTGTGTCATGGTTTGCAGGTTGGGAGTGGAGCAGTTGGGCAGAGCCTTCCACAGATAGAGTATCTCGATCACAGAGAGGATGCAGAGTTCTTTGGACAGACATGGACTTCTGAGCTTTTCAGCCTAAAAGATGTTCATGTTTTCAGATGTTGAGGAAGTTGCCCTTTAAAAAGATTACACTAAAAGACTTTGTATATATTTACTAGAGGTGTAAGTGCACGCAAAAACCACGGTTCGGTAAATTTGTGGTACAAAAAATACGGAAAAAAAGAATGTTTATGGACGCTGTCAGTCAAAAGGGCACATATTGAGGTTATCACTCCGCCCGTTTCTCATTCCATTTCCAGTCTGCAACTCTACTGAGCTACTGGAGAACCCCAGAGTTTCTCCATATGATTCTAGTCTGTTTTAACCGCTAACTATAACTAAGTTGCAGGGAAAGCTGGAATAATCTTGGAATATTGTTCTCAGATTTACCCTGGACCATTTAGAAAATATACAGTAAGGCGACACGTGGACTAAAAAAATTATTTCTGAAGACGTGTATTTGCACAAAACTTTACTAAAAGGATAGGTACAGCATATACTGAATGTACACATGCTGTTACACATATTATTATATATATAGTATTATACACACCCTCTTCATGGAGAACAACTCTATCTGATTATTCCTGCGCCTGAACAGTGCCTCGACGTCCTTGAACACAGCATGGGCTCCGTCCAGATCACCTGTGGCCCCTTGGCAAACTAGGAAACATGAGTTAAAGAAAAAAAATGAAGCCAGAACAGACGTCGAGAGAAATATCAATCCAGCCTTAGTGTACCTGCAGTTAAATAGGCGTAGTAACATTGCGACCAACGAGACTCCATCTTCAGACGCTCAAACGCCCTGTAGGCATCTCTGAAGTTCAGTTCAATCATGCTGCACCAACCTGAAATGGCACCGGTTATGACAAAGACTAGTGGTGAATTGAATGAATGAGTAAAGGATTAAAGGTAAGGGTTAAAAAACCAATACCTATTTCATAAAGGCACACGTGTTGAATCTCCCTTTGCTCAGAGGCCAGATCTAAGGCATCGCTAAAGGCTGTCAAGGCCCTGCTGATCTGACACTGGGAAAAGAGAACTTAATGTTATTACAGTGTTGGGAGGACAAAGAACACATTCCGAGAAAATAAATAAATCTTGTTCTTATCCTGCATTTACCTCCAGGCGGTGGACTCTGCCTTTGAAAAACATGAAGAGGGAGGAGTTTGGATACGAAGCCTCTCTTTGCTGAAGAATAGACTTGGCTTCTCTCAGTCCTGCCTGTGTGTCTGCACCATCCAGAGCAAAGAAAGGCTGCACTACTGTGTGGTACCACAAGAGGGCCAGACTATGCAGAAGCAGAGGAAATACAAAAATAATGAGGCCACAAGATAATATCAATCTTTTCTATGAAATCAAACGTGATTGACCTTGATTCAAATCAAATCACTTTTTAAATTACAATTCTGAAAAACACACCATGTATAGTGTCGGCAACTTTGTTTTCTTTTAAATGTGTGAACAAATTGTTCTTAATAAGCAACAGCTGCAGTATGTTTTGACTTTGATTACACACTCTGTGGAATACCACATGTTCACAAGCAAATGACTGTTTTAACCATTTTATTATCAAGAAAAGAAATCTCTTTTTTTTAAGTTTCCTCTCGAGACTGCTTCCGATTTATTTTACCTCTGCTGCTTAGTTCAGCCTCACTGATTATGCAAGTGTGGACTGTTCACGTGGCTATTTATAAGCTGTGAGAGTACAAATGAAAACAACCAGCTGACCTTTGAAGTGGGAAAGATCACATTCTTCAAACGGATGTACAGTAACGCTGCACACACAAGTGTAAGTGTCCGGGTTTAACAACAGGCGAGAGGAGGGGTGTGACCGTAGTGGATGCAACACTGAAGGAGTGCTGAGCAGATCACCTTTAGTCTGGGAGCAGACACAAACTCCCAGAGCCAATATTGAATGGTACTAGGGATGGCTCAGTCTGATACTTAAGTATCGGTCTGATATTGGTCAAAATTTAAGGATCGAACATCGAAAAAATAAACTATAGCACGTCTGATCGGATTGATATATGGATAGACAGATACTCCGAATGGCAGTATTAGTATCACTATTGTACATGAAAATGTAGTATCGAGCCATCCCTGGATGATACTAAAGTATGATGGTGCGTGGTTAGTTGTTGCGTGATATATTAGCAAATGTAAAAATAAAAAAACCAAAAACCGTTTAGCCAAAATTACAGATACACAAACGTACTCACTCACATACTCACGTAGCTAAGGGAGCCTTCATGTCCTTACTTTCACTGGCATACGTGAGTGCAGACAGGCCTTGAAGGCGATCACCAGGGAAGCCCAGCAGGTTAACGATCTTCAGCAAATGCGGCGGCACCATCGAAATGCAGAGGTGGAAGAGGCCGTAACCGAAGCTGACCGAACCTTTCAGTCTGTCCAGAGCCTCTGAGCTCAAACCGTCAGGTCTGTGGGAGGGGCTCGGCCTTGGTGAAGACGACACGCTGGGGTCTGAGGGTTCAGCTGATAGAGAAGGGGATTCGGAACGCTTTTGTCCCGAGGCCCTTCTTCTGCCGCCCTCCTGTAAGTGAGTGATGTCGCTGTAACATTTGTTGTACATCTTCCACGCTTTACGGAGAATCCAGCCTCCTTTGATGTACGCTGTTGGGAAATGTCAGCGGATGTCAGTGTGATTGCTATTGTCATACACGTCATTCTGAGTCTACACCATTAAATGTGCATGGAATGTGTCTGTTTACTTCAGTGTCCTGTACCTGACAGCTCTTGCTTGATGAAGGACAGCACTGCAAGATAAACCTGGCAGTCTGCTATGATGATCTGCCTCTGGAGTTGGTCCAACGCAGCCATGGCAGACCTGTGAGAGTCCACCTGCCCACACAAACGCCTCACACTTTTACACCGATATGACAAACAGACTCCGCAAGCTGACAAGCAAAAAAAAGGCATCTTCGTTTATGAAGCCCATAAAAACCACTCTAAAAGCACCCGTGTGCACAAATGCAAGAAAACTGGTGACACACTTCCCGTTCCACGTTCCTACTCTGCTGGTTCTTGCTGATTGTTAATGTTGTTGATTCTGTACAAGAGAATTGTGAATATTTGTGTTTACACAGAACTGAAACTGCTTTTCTGTGAAAAAAAAACCAAATGTGCTTAATACTCCATCATTGTTGTGGAGACTGGGTGTGTGTCCAGAGCAGGCAGAATGAATCTGTGTACTGTCAACAGAGAAGTTGAGCCATATGTTCCCTAATATAAGAGCAACTGCTTTTTAAAAAGTGACTTCCTCTGTGTATCACTTTCTTCTACTCTGCTGCTTGCCACAATAAAAATATATATTACATAAAAAATTTCACAAAAGTGTAAAAATACTGTCGTTGTCCAGAAGCACATTTAGTCAATTTCTGAAAATATTTAATATTTATATATTATATTTAATCATACTCACATTCTTCTTGATCTTGTTTTTAATGGTTTCAATGACGCCAGCGTTTTCGCTCTCACACATTTTCTCCGTAGCTTTAAGGTCTTCAAACGCCAGCTGCATTTTCTCCTCCTCGAATGTCATCATGGCGTTCTGCACAGACAAAATAAACCTGGATTGGATGATTTTAAAGAAAAAAAACAAAGAGATTCTTACTTGTTTTTTGTGTTTTATAAATTACAATTATGGCCTAAACAGAATGGTTGCACATATGAACGTAAGCATTTTATATATGAAAATATTTCTAACTGTTTTTTTCACAGGGTAAAACAGAAGTACATCTGGTTTCACTAAAAACACTTGATTATTTGGCTTTGTTGGCATCAGAAACAAAAACAAGGAACTTCTCGTTTCCTCACTGTCAAAATGAAATCGTCTCTGAATGTGGAAGTCAACATTAGACAACAAACAGGCACCAGACGATAGATAAGATGCTTGTTGAAGCTACAGTTTGTCGACTCACCAGAAAACTCACAAAACTCGCCCCAAAGCTCATCAGTGGACTGTGGTTCCTGGAACAAACAACTCAGTTAATGGACATGTCTGTAACAGATGAAAGTCACACATGTGCAATGTATACAACTCAATTATGTCTGGGACAGAGTCACTGAAAAAAAGGGATGTGGTGAGTTCAGAGTTAACCTTTCATTATTGATTCTGTGTCTAGTGCATCGCTTAATCTTTCATTTCTTGCAGCCTACACAGCTGTTTTGGTGCATTTGCGTCTTCACCTGCGCCTGTATTCAAGGGTGTGTTGATGAAAATGAGAACAGGATGACACCCGCTGCTAAATTAAATTAATGAGAGAGGTGGCATTTACTTCCCCCCGGGGGTCGGGACACACAGGGTCTGCCCTTCTGTGGCATCGGCAGCCATGGTGAAGGCAACGACAGAGTCAGTCAGAAGAATAAAACAGTGTGAATGAAGCATCACGTACCTTTCAAGTGAGCCCTGCTTTGCAGGTGTCGCTCTATGTATTTGGGTTAACAGTTTTTATTGTTCCACAAATGACAACAGTTGACTTTTCTACAATGATTTCTCCCAACGTGGACTGATATGTCCTGACCCCACAGGAGGGAGAGAGAAACTGTGTCAGAGGAAGAACTGCCAATCAATCTGCTTACAGTGAAACCATTAACCCAGTGTATGGCCTACACTTTAATGATCGGAGTGAGGTGAAAAGGTCAAGTAATATATGCAGTGTATTTTACAAACATGCAAGCGGTAGCGACTTTAGGTAGGTGAGGCACATTAATCTTATCTGTAATTAAAAAATAATCATTCTTGTGCCACAAGGAGAATCATTTCATTAGTTTAGTATTTTTTCTGGCTCACAAAATAGGTCAGTGCTCAAGGGAGCCAACTTTCACCTCATGAAAACATCAACTCTTTTTTAAAAGTTGTATGTTAAGTGAAGAAGAGAAAGACAGAAAGTGAAAAAGTAAGTAATTTAACTACAATATTCTATGAAAAAGAAGCTACACCAGATACATTACTACATGCTGTAGTTTTAATGGATGAGCTCTACTGGTTCATGACATTCATAATTAATAGCTAAAAAAAAGAAATCTAGGCTTTTAGTAAGTGGCCTGCAGTAAACACAAAGAACAGACTGCTATATGTACAGTATGTACAGTATGTTGTCACCACCAGACGTCTCCCAGGTGATTTAGGACATTTACAAATGTAAGGGCCTAATATTAACATACGCATTTAGGCTCAATTTGATAATGACAAAAGCAGGATCGACCAGTTTGTGTCACTATGCTATTGCAGTCACCAATGGAAACCAACATAACCAATGGAACGAGCGCGTTCATTTATTTTAAAAAAATTAATAACACTTTTACATTACAACAATGCATTACTTTAGATCCAACATCAAGGACCAACAACCAATAATAGTCAGCTCAACTACTTCTTTTTTTTACAGTTAAGACTGTAGACAAATATATAAACAGTGCTGATTGTCTTGGAGCCTCACGAGTCACAGTGTGGTTTAAACTATTTGCTCAGGGTGTTTTTTTTTCTTCTTTTTAAATGACTTTAAACTCACACGTATGCTTAACCTATGTCTTATGTCACTCTGCAGGCTGCTGCCAAACTGAGCACAAAGACACAGGGTGATGTGCAGCATTACACCTTCATTACAAGTTGTTTGTGGAAAATCAATGTGACCGTAGTAAACTTAACGCAATTAATCAATTATGTTATCAATCAATAGTTGGTCAACCGTTAAGAAATAGAGACTCTCTATTTTCCTATAATTTTCCTATTTCCTTTCAACAGCGGTGCTGTGTACTTGTTACCTGTTTTTCTGCTGCTACCACCATTGATGACCAGAAGAGGGACAGGTTTAGTTCTGTTTTAGGACCTAATGTAGCACCAAAAATTATTTTGAGCACTTTTACTATTTTGGTTAGCTAAATATGCTGCGACTTTGCATGGTGTACGCCATCTACTGGTACGTTTTGGAATTACCCGACAGGTGATGCCCAGAGAAATTAATTTTAAAAGGCAGCACAACACAAGCTGAAGGTAATGAGATAAACAAAAAACCCTGACTGATTGACAGGTAATTATAAAGAGACCTGACTCACTGTTGTCGGTGCCAGCTCTTAATGATACACCTAAGAGTTCAAACTAAAAGCAACTCAGTGGATAAACAAAAGCATGCAATGTTTACCAGTCACTTATTCATCACTTATACATTATCAATATATTTGATTACAGTTTTTGCTTTTAGATTTAAAATTGCCAAGCAGTTACCAAAGTTCTCTCCTAGTAGTACATACTGTATACAATCAACATTTAAATACAACCAAATACAGTCCAACACGTTTTAATTTAAATGTTATCATTCGTTTTTGACAGAAAGAGACTTAAACAGAAATAGAAAAACTGCAACAACAACAACAACAAAAAAGTGTTTAAAAAGTGACATATTCCCTTGCGTGCCACTAGAGGGGATTAAGTACCGCCAGAGGCACGCGTATCACAGTTTGGAAACCACTGGTGTTTATTTTAAAACCTGTAAATGCGTCATAAAAATGAGAAAACCTTGAGAAACAAATCAGTTGTGTTCCCCGTATTTTAGAAAAAGACACACACACAAACACGCACAGTAAAAGAGAGATGCAGACCTGTATTTTCTGAACAGCTCGTCGCTTTCCTTGAAACCATTGTTGAGCAGCATGTTGATTCCAATCAGAGCCAGCTCTGCGTCGTTGATGCTGTCCGTCTGCTCTGTCTCCACGCAGCCCCGGGTTGGTTCCACCGGGTCCGCCATCAAAACGCCCGACACCGGAGACGAGGCAGTGAAGGCGGCCCTGGAGGAGACAGAGAGGAAGAAGGCAGGAGTGAGGAGACCGTTTGTCTGCTCAGTTCACAGGAGGAGGCAGGGGAGTCTCAGCCTGCGGGGGGGCTTTTTAGCCAACGCAGTCACATCCACTTTGTTAACATGTGGGAGTAAAGCGAGGACAAGCTGGAGAAAGTAAAGACTCTAGCTGTCAAAGTCTCAGAGACTAAGTCGTTTCTCCGCATTCCGCCGCCTAACCTGGCTACAATGTGTCAAAGCGGAAGTGTGTGCGTTTACCGACGCGCCGCCTTTGTCAACCTTTCGTAGATTGTACCAGCATTGAAAACCATACCCATTTTTTTTTTTACAAAATGTCAGTGAAGGCAGCACTAAAGAGGGCGTGGTGTCTTTCCCTCGTTAGCCCAATGAAGTGTGAGAATCGGGTTTACGTTGGCGTTTAAGAAACACCCAGACAGCGTGTTCTATGTTTTCTATTGTCACATGAATATGATGCAGATATGTTGACATTAATGTCATATATTGCCGACTAAATACGTTTTGCTCCAGGACAGAAGGAAAACATAAGCTGTTCAAAATCGTAAATTACATTTATATAATTTTTTACAACTTACAATCGTGTATAAACATAGTGCTGAGTACAATTCAACAATTAATCCTCGGTCTTTATCAACACGTGTCAGAACATGCGAAAATATTTTTTTGTCTCCATTAAATCGTTCATGGCACAAAACATTTCTTAACAAAGAACACATTACAAAATGGTCACAACAGAGGAATGCATGTACAATATGGCCAAACCTCATGCATGTTTTTCATAATACAACATTTGGTGTAAACAAAGCAGTTGGTAAACACTTATTTCTTTTCTTTTAGCTTAATAATATGATGGGATAAATGGTCCCAAACTATACCAGAATTCTGGATGATCCACAGTTTTTTATCTAAAGCAAAAAAAAAAAGCCACATAATTCATAAATACTTTTTAAAGATTTGACAGATGTTAGAAAGGAATGCAAAAACGGATAATAAATTCAAAGCAGGATTAATGCAGCATGGTATAAAATCAAGCAGGAATCTCTGTGGACCATTATGTTCTCAGATGACACTGTAATTGGCGGACAGCGTAGCAGAGAGGGCTGGAGTTGGAAATGAGCCCGGAGAGATGGAGGTCTGCACTGGAGAGACAAGGAGAAAAGGAAGATGGGAGGAGAAGATTAGAAAAAAGAGGGAGAGGTGATGGATGTGGAGTTGTAATAGTCTGGGAGTAACCATCCAAATCAGTGCACAGTGTACAAATGATGTGGAAAACTAGGTGCAGGTACAATAGAGTGCCTCTATAAATAACCTACGCTTCCCATTAACCATATAATTCAACATTCTTCTGGACAGAACAGTTGTAAGTTAGAATAGTGTTGCTGCAAAAAAAAAAGAAGTCATGTGTGAACATTACCTGTACACGTCCTATGGACACTGACAAACTGTGAAATACCCGTTCAATGTGTTAAATGATGTTGAAACTGCAGGCACTACAGACAGAAATGTATGGACTTAGAGATGGAGGATGTGTAAATGTTTGGAGTAACAGAACAGCAGGGTATTCACTTTGGGAGCAGCCAAAGGAAAGATGGAAGAAAAATGGTGAGTAGATGAACCGTTGAAATGTGCCTACATAGAGCACCATGGATGTGAAAGAAAAATGTCATACAGATTCTTAGGTCCAACCAGAAGAGGAAACAAAACAAAACAAATGTGAACTTTTAAAGCACCATCACACAAGGCATCATTTAAATTCTTAAAGTGCTGGTTTGCTCACACGGCAGCCCCGACCAACCAAAGCAGAGTCAGAGGTGTTTGTCAATAGAATCAAAGGGCTGTCCAACACCTGGGACTAGTAGATAAACTGAGATTAAAGTATTTATCAGGGATTAGGTGACTTACTTTTTAACTTCTGAATAAATACAGAATTGTTCAAGATAGCAGCTGTGATATGGGAGAGGAAGCTGCTGCTCTTATAACGCTCTGATCATTCATACACACACACACATACACACGCCACATAAAATATGCCCATTTTGACATACAGTACAAACATTCTCTGTCTTGTTAACAGATTGCACATGGTTGGTAATGGATCTGGTCCCACGGTTCAGTAAATGACGCTTATATTCAGCTTGGACACTCTCGGAGGTTGACCGGACCAAACACGGCGGAGAGTCTGTCGAACGACACCGACTCTTCATTGATCCTCATGTCCTGGATGCAGCCCACGAACGATGATGTGACAGGGAGGGCTGGGAGCATCGATGTGTCTGCAGCAAAATGTCAGCGGTTAGTGTTCAACTCAAATGTGTGAAGTACTTCAACTAAATAAAGAGCTGGGAAGAAA